AAATTAAAAATACGCGAAAACTGAACACAAAATTCAAAATAAACTGCGAACTTAAAAGTGTGCTATTTATGTGTCCACTTCAAATCAACACTATACTCAATMAAATTGCTGCGTAAAAAGTATAATAGGAAATAAACGGTATTTTTGAACAGCGAAATGAGCTTCATAACGGTAACAAGTAGATACATGCCATATTGTTATTGTTCATCAACTTTACGATTAAAGAAATGAGAAATAATATTGGATTCGGATTTGTGCTATTTATGTGTCCATGGCTGTACATACGCATGTACATTAAAAATGTGGAGGCAGGCATCTTGCAAACGTGACCGTTGTCACAACATTTGCATATTGAATCTCATTACAAAGTTACATAACTTAAAGAATTATCTACACGTGTAAATGTATAAATTTATATACATGTGTATGTATATGTACATATGTCGATATGTTTTCTAAATATTAATGGTGTTTGTACTGCATGTATGAAATTAAACATCAAATTTCTATGGATGACTTCACGCCCAATTAAAACTAATTGTAAATTCATATGCCATACTTTCTAATACAAAACAAAGTTTTACAAAATTTTGTGAAATACTACATATACATATGTATGTACATTCATACATACATACATAAGTAAAGTTTAAGCTGAGAATCACTCATACGCTCCATAAACTTCGGGCTGCATTCAAGAATAGCGTTACCTGATTATTTCATATTAATATGTAAGCATGTATGCATTAATATTTGTACATAGTGCGAAAAATTATCTATGTAATAGTCTTCACCATACCATTTTCCGCTTAAAATAACTGTTATTGCACTTTTCAATGAATTAACGTTCAATAAAAATGAAAACTCTAATTAAAGATCGTCGTTCAATTAAAGTCGGTTTGAACACGCAATTCCCACATGACATTCATTATTAGATAGATGACTCGCAAGTGTACGACCATTATTGGACCATTATGGGCGGCTTATGCATGCATGTGACACAACAATTACGGTAAAGTGCTGTGCGTCTTGGAGTTGGCCAATATTTATTGTGATTGACGCTGTGCCCAAACAACAAGTCGTGTGCTTAATAATATTATACGTATGTACATATGTACGTATGTTGTAGTATGTACATACTAAATATGCAAAAAAAAACAAAAATAACTAAAAACCAACCTTTTAAATTACGTTAACAGCGTTAACACTAATTTTACTCTATTGAACTTTTGGTTGTCGAAAAATCGGATCGGTAATCACCGTTTCTTAATAAAAAAGGATTGAGAATCCAAATACATTACGTTTCAGACATTTAAGCTCATAATTCATAACTTAAGCACAAAATGGTTTTGTTTGTACATACTTATGTATATATGTACAGATGTACCTTCATATATGATGGTGTAAGAGGGTACTTGACCTCTCCTTATAGTATATGTATTAAATGGTCATTATTGTGCATTAATTGTATATGTATACACTTACGTATATTTTAATTAAAGATAAGCAAAATTTCGTATATACATATGTACATATATTTTTTTCATATGTATCATTCCTGCGAGTATGACGACAATTGCCACTTTAATTCAGAGAATATTACAAATATGTACATACATACATACATACATACGTATACATTCGTAATAAAAGCGATGAAACCCATTTAAATCAATTTTAACTGTATAGTATGTTTGTATGTATGTATGTACATATATTATTAATTTTTTAGGCATTTTTTGTCAAGAATATTTATTTCAATTCTTGCGTTCGAAGCTGTGAAATTTTTATTAAAGCATGTGTATTAAACGCAAGTAGCGCTACTAGTTATTTGCACACTAATGAACGCAGACACAATAAGTGCTTAAGATAAAATAACTATCTCACTGAATATTAATTTTATTCCAAAAAAAAAAAGCTAATAAAAGCACACGTCACTTGCAAACCACCTGTATTTTCCCCCTTCAATAATTCCGAGCGAAGAGTCTGGGAAAGTAGGTATACAGTTTAAATATACCGACATATAGTATGTACATACATCAATACAAAGAATTTTCATATTTATTGATGATTTACATATTTTTCTTCGATTTCTATAGGCCAGGCTTGAGTCATACAAAACGCAGGGAAAGATGCTGTTGTAAATATATACATACATATGTATCTACATACATATATATGTACATATAAGCAACCGCGGTTTCTTTGAATGCATGTGACCGGCGTGAGAAATACTTATGTATGTATGTATGTATGTAAAAGCAAAGTCATGTAGGCATATACATACATACATATGTATGTGTGTGATATATAATAATTTTGCCTGCCCTTTCCTCACGGAACTAAACCAATCACTGACATACATATATACATTCATATGTACATATATTTATTATAGAATTGATGATTAATTAGAAGAGCACCCAAACGTACAAACGCATGTATGCATGTGTATTTGTATTCGCATTGTCTGGTTAAAACGAGTTACTATTTGCTCCAATTTCATGGAAGTCAACTTAACGTAATTACAATCTATCAAGTAGTTGTAAATATACTACATTCTTAATTTATACCGGCGTACACACCTTTTAAACATATGGACACATGCATATTTGCAAGTTCACCATATGCATGCAATTGTGAAATTCAGAGCTGTGAAATCGCTGGATCTGGGAATGCATCCATTTGAAGAAGGTAAATAAGACAAAAGTGCGGACAAATACACATTTATGTACATACATACATATATTTAAATGCATGTGTAAACAACGCACAGCACCGTTACGAAAGCAGTGTTTATATGAAATGTCATGGAAGCTACATATATGAATATTTTTAATTGATATTCAATTTGCTTAATTTTTACTGTTAAATTAATTGCTTGCATTTCTGCTGCTCAATTAAAATTACAAAACATTTCAATATATGTTTAAAAGGAAAAATTCATATTTATATGTGAGTATGTATACCATTTTTATGTCTATAACATATGCTTAGTTTAACCTACTATAATAAGAAATAAACGATAAAGAAAGTAAAAAAGATAAATAACATTAATAAATGTAAATAAATCAAATTTCTTTTTTTTTTAATTTGAAAAAAGTGTTCATTCAAATTTAAAAATGCTGTATACCAGTGCGGGGTTTGCGTTTTCTATAAAAAATGTTATAGGTAACCCTGTTAGTGCGAAGCAAGAAACTGATACATGCAACCCTGCTCAGCACAATGCTGCCAACTTTTGCTGAAATCAACTCAGCACTTTGGCAAGTCTGTCCACCATTTTGACTGAATGTTGCCACAATCGAATTTTCGTGTCAAATACCTTCGGTAGTGCAAAAGGTTCGGGAAAAAAATCAACTCGGTGAAAAAGTGTTGACCAACTACAGCGAAAAAGACGCGAAAAGTTGAAACTCTATTAATTTTTTTTTGCAATATGAACCCAAAGCGAGCCAAATTCACAACACTGACTTCAACGGTTAAAGAGGAAGTGGTTCCGGTACTGATTCATGATCCCAATGCTCCAGATGGTGCGCAATATGCATATGCTACATTTACCTCGGCGGAAGAATCTGAATCTGCGGTTGAATCATTGTCTGGAACACATGAAACGATTGTAAGCACACAAGAAGTGATAATTGATGAACATGGACGTGCTGTGACCATTCAACAACTAGTCGACAATCATTCTGTCGAAGAGGTGGAGACCGTGGAAGAAAACGATGGCACACATACCATTTTACATATTGTACCTTCATCGCCAATTCCCGAAGAGACGGGAACTGAAAGCGGTGGAGATGGTGATGCCAGCCTTAGCCCAACTGATTCGATGGGCAACCGTTCTAAGACTTTTTATTGCCCAAATTGTGGCAATTGCTACAGTGCTGCTGGGTCATTAAAACTACATATGCGCGCTTGTATGAAGCAGCGTGAAGAGGTTCCGCCAGAACAAAGAAAATGTGAAATTTGCAATAAGGTATTCAATTCAGTTTCGTATTTAAAAGAGCATATGATGCGACACACAGGTGAAGGCCCAAGACGATGTACTCGGTGTTATAGAAAGTTTATTGACGAGGGTAAATGGAAAGCTCATATGGAGAGCCATAAACAACAAGATAAGCTAGACGCGGAAGCACAGGCTTTAGCTGAACAGCACGGAGGAAAAAAGATAGTGGTTAAAGAGTTCACATGCTCATTTTGTTCACAAAACTTTACGGTGGTATTCGAAGAAGGCCAAGTAAAACGGCGTTACGCCTGTGATGAGTGCCGTGAGAAGTATTCCAATGCGGAACAATTAAAACAGCACAAACAAATGTTAGGAGAGAAGCGCGATTTTCATTGTGAACGTTGTGGGCGCAAATTTGTCTTTGAGGGTTTCTTACAGAGACATCTTCCAACTTGTGATGGTACAATTAAACGACGACGGGACATGAAGTAATAACTGCATGTGATTTGCGTCTTCGCATAATCTCACAAAAATAATATCAAAGCTACGCTACGCTATTTAGATCTACGAATTAATAAGTTTTTTCCGTACCTTATGTTATTTGTAACTTGTTTATTTCATTTGCTAGATGATACTTTGTAAATATGTCATTTAAACCGTTCGATATATCTGGAGGCAACGTTCGACGGACAGTACCAACTTTAGATTTGAAATGCGTCCTCGGTTCTTGAATATCTTTTTTTTAATTCTATGACACGTAAATTTTTGAATTAATAAAGAAATCCATATTAAAATAAAGCTGAGTTACTTTTATTTATTGGCTAATCCACTGCAATTTCGAAGATTTATTTCGATTTTTACCGAATGGCGTTAAAAATAAAGATTGAAAAAGTGCTTAAGACCACAGTTTCAGATGAGCGCGCTTGGCGTAGGATTTGTAATCAGTATGGGCATAAAATTCCTTGAATAGGGGAGTTACAAGTGTGTCTTTAGGAAGGGTCTTGTAGACGGGCTCACCATACCAAGTACCAACCTGAAAGAGTATAAGTTTAGAACTGAAGTGATACAATTTTTACATCTTACCTCCCAACCGGGCACATTTGCCATTAATTTGGCTTCTTCGTCGCGATTACGGCGTAGTTGCTTCAGAAATTCACGATCACGTTCTGCTATAAGCAAGGGATATATGACATTTTGGGCAGAACGATTTTCTATCTCTTCACGATGAATTTGCTTGGCAGTCAAATAGTACACATACATTCCTGCGGCTGTAACAACCGCGTACCCGGCCAGCATTTGAAAACCTGCATTATAAAGGAAAATTAATATAATAACAACAAATGATGTGTTACGTAGGGTTCTTGGTACTCACCTGTGAAATAACTCTTGGCTGGAACGCGCAGATATGGAATTTTCTTATAGCCACCCGTTGGGGGCATATCCTGCTTCCTAGTGGCACTAGCTGCAGCCGACATTTTACTAACTTCTTTACCTATTAATGATAATGGAATATTAATAGTACTTGACAATTTAATTTTAATTTTTTCTTACTCTTATGCTTAAAGAGGGAAAAATTCTCTGATTGCCAAACGTCAGATTTGACGGCTGAGCTTGCATAACAACAGAAATGCCAACTTAACTGAACTGTCATTTACAGAAATATCAGTTGCGTGCCGGAAATGCTTATAAAGTCATTAGGATGTTTCGTTTAAATAGCTTTATTTTTAAATAATTTTATAGATTATAATTACAAATACCATCAAAATATTTTTACTGAATTTATTTATTGATACGAATGCACATATATACATTAATTTCTTTAAATTATCTCTCAAATATATAATCCAAGGATTATAATAGCAGAATTGACATATACGGTTTTTGGAACATGCTCTCATCATCTGCCATGTCTTTAAGGGAATGCCTATATACATAAAAACTTCTGAAACTAACTTCTTTACCTAATGATTATAATAGAAAATTAATAATTCTTGATAATTTAATTCTAATTTTTTCTTACGCTTAAAGAAGTGGGAAAATTTCTCCGATTGCCAAATATGCTCTCATAACACTGTGGAACATTTTTGCGATTATCGTCTGGGGGATGAGAAATTCCAAGTCAGGTTGATGGTACTAGGTCAGTACAGTACAACCCTCAAAGGGTTTGGCGTTCGTATGTGTCAGTTTTTGTTTATAACCTTTTAAATTTGTTCCTTATCTTGATGTTTTTTCGCTTAGTTGTGACATTTTGACAAAAAAAAAAAAAATACGTTTTTGCCAAAATGTTACAACTAAGCGAAAAAACATCAAGATAAGGAACAAATTTAAAAGGTCATAAAAAAACTGACACATACGAACGCCAAACCCTTTGAGGATTTTACTGTGACAAAAAAAAAAAATACGTTTTTGCCAAAATGTTACAACTAAGCGAAAAAACAACAAGATAAGGAACAAATTTAAAAGGTTATAAAAAAAACTGACACATACGAACGCCAAACCCTTTGAGGGTTTTACTGTACTGACCTAGTACCATCACCCTGACTTGGAAGTTCTGACTGTTAGTTGTTGTACTGTGTAATCAGCCGTGCCTTTAAAGGAATGCCTATATATATTATAGCATAAAAACCTCCAAAAACCGAATTATGACGACATTTTAAATACTATTTGTATGAACAAAAATTATCAACTGTTTACTTAAATATTACTGTTTTTATTTATATCATGGTATTTCTATAAAAACATTATTTTATAGGTACAAAATTTAATTTAGTTAGGAATTGCTTCGATACATATATCAAACAATATTCCTATTGTTCCTGTTAATCAAATATTAACTTGGTCAAACATCTTCAAATTGAGCTTAAAGAAAACCAAAAACTGTATGCTTTCTCAGTCAAAACAATAAAATCATACTCCTTGCAAGCCTAATTCCTTTTTGTAAATCAATAGAGTGTCTTCTAATATTTTGATTTTCGTGCAACCTAGCATTATAATTTGCAATATAATGGAGGTGTAAATTACAATATTCAAAATTATTTAAATGCTTAAAAATCTACCATGCGCATGATTATACAGCGCAGAGGGACAATTAACTAATAGTAGCTATTGTTTACTTAATAAAGGCTTCTGGCGGTATTTTATTTTCCTTGTGCAGTTTGTCAAACACAAAGGCAGCATGATTGTAATCCCAATTGGTTTCCTGTAGACATCTGTAAATATTGTAATTAGTTTTCGCACTTTCTACAACATTGAAATGATCAAATATTATATAAACTCACTTCGTGCTCCATTCGATGTTCATATTACTTTGTGCACATAACGATTGCACCATTTGTATTTTTGTTGCCTCATCAATGCTTACCTGTGGCGGTTGCAGTGTTGCAGCTGCCGAAGTCTACGAGTTGAAAAAATTAAAAGAGGAACAAAAAACAAAATATCGGATATACTCACGCTAGGCTGGTTGATATGCAATCGGTTCTGTAGGCCAGTAGATAAGCCCGAACTGGGTGTCATGGCTTCATTGTTCAATTGAGGCGTGGTAGCGGTCTCTATCTTCTTTTTAAAGAAGCGCACTTGGTGTTGTGCGGCTACTGTGATCAGCACCATTTCATTTCGGATGCAAAAGCCGCTGCCTGCGGGCACAATTATGTATTGTCGCTGGAAATAGCGTAATTCTTCAGTAACTTCATCAATTTCTTTGAATAAGCCGGCCACAGTGAAAACGATCATTTTCGGCTACAAGAAAAGAACAATTAAAATTAGCGTAGAAGCAAATGGTCGGTTGCTTACGGTAAATAATGTTAGGTCTACGGTGAAAGAACGTGGATAATGCTTGGTTTTAGGCAACTCGGCGAGCATTGATACCACAGCAAGACGCCCAAAACGTAACTGGCGCACCTTTGTATTGTCGTCGGCGTTTTGACGGCGAAAATCACGATTGTAGCGCCAATATTTCTCAAGCCTGAAATAAAAGAGAGTTGAGTCAAAAACAATTATTTGCTTTCATTAAAATCTCTGTCGCCATACCGGCCTACTTGACTCGCTGGTGGCACGACCAGTGACAGCATCGCTTGGTCATGGTAAGCATCAAGCAAAGGCTGACGATTATCTGAATCGAATATCAAAAAGTACTGTTCCAGGAATTGACGTATAATTTCAGTGCCATTTGGGTCGCAAAGGAAAGAAGCCTTTGCATGAGGGAGAACCGCAACTTCTTCACCCACATCGAACTGAATCATCGGCGTCAGTTCTTCACCGTCCTAGTTTTAATGGGCAGAGAGAATTATTAACACATGACCAACATATTAATAAAAATGGAATTATAATTACCAATTTCTTCAATTTTGGAAATTTGCGCTGGATCTCCCTGCGAATGAATATATCTTTGTTGGTATAACTGGTTAAAAATATATACAACTACAATTGGTTATTCCCAACATGCAATTGAGCTGACTAAGCAGCAAAGGTGAAAAGTGGTAGCTAAATATACCAGCTTCTGGCATTACTTGCGGAAATATTGGAAGCAAACTTAAAGAATTTCTTTGGGCATAGAAAAAATGAACTGTGTGGTTAAGGAGCGTTGACTTAGTGAACAAATTTGGCTAAAAGCAAATATATAAAAAATGAACGCTGTGTCGAAATAAATGGGCCATCGACCTTGTTACTCTCAAAGGATAGCTATGTGGCGCTCATGTCGGGATTGCAGGTTGCTTTTTTCATGTTTTATACTTTTTTGCGCAATATATTTTTTTTATTTATTTATTTTCTTTTTTTTTCTTTTAAAGAACTGAGCCACAATAAACATGTGTTGGCCAATCGCCTTTCTGCAATGAAATTCGCGAGAATTTTTTGCCGAGTCCCGTTGACGTTCCTTTTTATTTTTTATATAATTTACTGATATTCAGTTATTTAGTTTTGTTAATTCAGTTTCAAGCATTTGGCTGCAGCTGGTGTTTTTGCAGGTTCACGCCTAGCAATGCGACACCAATCTTACAGCTGCACATGAAAGAAACCTATGTTTATTTATAATGGCTCGTTGCGAGTTGTTAGCGCTTTCAAATCAATCTACTTCGTTGACCTCAGAACTTAACAATAGCCCGCCAGCCATGTACGCAAGCGCATACATCATATAAACGGCGTCTGCCACATGCACAAGTGTGTAGTGGTTGTCAAAAGGCAGTGGGGCAAAGGCTGGTAATTGTTCTTTAAAACGAGGCAACTTAGAAGCTCAAGACGCAATTCTTTATATCCGATTTTTGATTTTCATATTTGTTTATAAACTCCAACTTACAGCGTAGAGTTATGTAATTTTGACATGGAAGTGTCCACGGAAACTCAGCAAATTAATTTACCGCTAAATTATATAGCCGCGAATATTTTTTAAACAGTTGATTGCTTCTCAGTCATTGCGCTGTTTTCATTTTTTTTTCCTTTTTTCTTTCTCTAGCTCTTTTTTCTTTACTATTTTCACACGGAGCGTCGCTTAGCTTTAAACGAGCTACAATTTTAGCTTCTTCTCGGCAACATTTGTCATATATTTGCTTCGCATCACAATTACTTCCTCCTAACCAATATTTATCATTTAAATTTGCTTTAACATTGATTATCAAACGGTCTGCGGATTTCGCTGTATCTTTTCAGCTTTGCTCTCACTCAAGTACAAAGTAACCAGAGCCTTGGTGAAGTTTTTCAAGCACATTATTTGGATAATTAGTTAATTTCTTTAAATGTGGTAAATTTCAATAAAATTCTCTGAATATTGCATAGAAATGCACTTTGAAAACTTCACCAGCGCTTTACATCGATCGTTCTAGTCGAAATTAATACTTTTTGGAATGCATAAAACATGAAAACATATTAGAAAATCAAGTAAAATAATTTGCGTATAGTATGTAAATATCAGTTGAAATTGCTGGACGCATGCTTAGTTTGCCAGCATGCGCATGTTCTTTAGACGCGCCGCAAGGATAGCAGTCGCACAGCCGTTGAACAATTAGCTTTTTTCCAGCATTATACAATCCGCCGTTAAAATGTGTTACAGCAGTCCGAGAAGCGTTGCGGTCAACTCCGCGTGCGCTCCTCCATAACTTCGCAACACTCTACCATCCATTTACGGTTTTCAACCATTTTCATGCGTTGCACCCAGTTGCGAAATTTAGAAAATCAATAGCTCGTATACCTGACGTAATGCGCGTGGTCTTTGTAGCGGCCGCAGAGTCCATTATTTTTCAATACCAATTCGATGAGCGGTACATGACGTAGAGCGATCAAATGTGTTGCGGTCGGTATCTGCAAGTAAGCGTTCGAATCTGAAATAATCTGAAATACGGCTAAAACACGAATCCATTAGGCACTCACTCTGTTATCAGCCAAATGAAGGATGCGCAAGTTTGGCAGACGCGTATGTGCATTCTTGAATGCCTCCATGGACGCTATGTTGTTGTTGTTCAAATTGAGCGCAACCAAATCCGGTATATTCTTCTCCATTATTTCGATCGCCGCCGACATGACATGTGAGCGAAAGATGCCGCAAAATATGCCTCGAAAATCCGGATCTGTATGGAAGCTGGACATATCTAGCGCTTTGGTCTGAGCATTGTATCGTTTTGCCATGACCAATTGCATACGGGTTTTTAATTGGTCATTGATGGGCGTCTGAGGACTGGAGGCACGTACGCGTAAATACGGCCTGAAGCCATCGGGCATTTGCACAGCGCGCTCGAGTCCATCCAAACGCTCAGCAACTCTATGATCATCCACATAGAATGAGACGTTGTTCTTTTCGCTGCGCCAATAGAGCGGTATCAGCTGCTCCGGCTGTATGGCGCGCTGCAATACGCTCACAAGTTCCTCCTTGGCATACCGTTGCCCATTGTTTATCTGAAAGAGAAAATAGAAGAACAGTTATTCGATGCGAAGTGGTTGGCGCTTATAGACTACATGGCGCCGGCAACTGCCGAACTTTGTTCACTGCCCAGCACAATATGTAGCATAGGGCAACAAGCTGTTTTCCCCATCATGCGCATTGGTTTGACGTTGCGAAAACACTTGACTATAGCAGAGATATGTCGATAAACGATTGGTAATCTTTATTGTAGCCTATGGCACACGGCAATGTATTTCTGTTTTAAGTGCGCTGATAAAACAATCGCTGGCAACAACTAGATGAGGTGTACAAGTACAGAAATTCTGCGACTTCAACGCGTTAACATTCACGAAGACAACGTCGCGCTACACACATTTCACTTAAACGACCAAAAAATCGCCAAAAGCATGGTTGCAAGCAGCAACAGGAGGAATTAAGTTTCTAATAAAGAGCGAAAGTCCAAAATGCGGCGGATATTTCCGTGTGGCTGCTGTTCTAGAGAAAATCTGGATTCGGATGACGATTCAGTTTCGGGTCACTACTGGTCTATATTTAACATGAGAGGTGAACTCAAGTCGCCTGAACAGGTGAGTGGCAGAAAAGCTGTGAATGCGTATCTCACTTGACCATCTAACGGAATTTGCAGGGAACACTGTCCACGGTAGTCACCACAGAGCCAGGTGCCAACACGACAGCGCACAATTCTGTGGAGGATTTTGTGGACATTGATTTCCCAAAGGGCAGCTTTGAAGATGACCGCTTCGGGGACATATCGGCGACAATATTCAAGCGAAGTCAAATTTAGTTTTCTTTTGTAGTTTTAAATAGAAATTATTGATTTATAGTTTTACGCAACTCTCTAGCCAAAGGTACCACAAATATAACATTTCACCGTAAAATATTTAATTCTTAAGATAAGCAAATAATTCCTAAGATTATGCAAAAATATTTCACAATTAAATATTTGAACCAAATGTTACTTTAAAATTTACAAAACTTTATAAAACGAACAGGAATCAAGTATTTATGTTGCTGTTGTTATAGCGGCAGAATTCTGCCGGACTGACAGCCTTTAGACGGATAAGAAATTCGGATCCGTTCTGGTTACGTAGACCTGACCATTGTGGGAACAAAAAAGGAGTCAGGCAGTCGTGCAATTCAGTCCGATGAGAGAACAAAGCTACAACCCACCCAGGTGCTCTGCTAAGCCACTTTTATATAACATGGTCGTCATCAAAAGGGGAGTCTCTGATCCGAGGCTGTTTAAACGTTTCCATTGGGGGCCAGTAAAGGGTTAAACAGAGTGTTGTAATTACTGGAGAGGCACAATATACATATCACGAGTCGCAGTGCATTACTCAAATTTCAATTAAATCAAGGATGTTACCAAGAGGGGGAAAAATAAACAATATATTCGAAACACGAAAAAATATATTTATAAAAATGTCGATATTCGAAAAAAATATGCCAGTTGCAAATATTTTCGAAATCTATTCGGCAAACCTGACGAAACACTTGAGCAAATAATAATATGAAACTATTTTTATGGAGATAGAGTACAAGTTATTTGAAAAATGATTCACTGAAGTGGAGTGAAAATTGGTCAAACGAGCGGTTTTTACATACAAGAAAACTTGGCAACTGATAACCACATTTATTGCGAATTGATTGTGGCGCTGTGACAAATATTTTCCTGCACATACACACCGTATCTGTAGTATATACTATGTATACATATATTCATAAGTACTCTCATATATGTAGATAACGATCGATAAGTAAGTCAAAACCGTAAAAAAATAAAAATGACCTCAAAATATAATTACAAAAATACACAAAATAATAAATAAACATTCAAATTAGCTGACTGTATTTGTGTCTAGTCAAACTGGGGGAAATTTATCAACATTCCTGTCTTTAGACACCTCCACACACCAATAAGCCAAAACTAAGCCAAGTAGGAGAGACAAAAAAACAAAAACAAATACAGTTTGTTTTAAAAAGATTTCTTAGCTATGAATACAACTACATACATATATTATATAATATGTATGTATAATATATGTTAGTAAACTCACGCAGCAGATCGTAGCACAAAGGAAGGCCGCGACCGCGCTGCTGCTAGAATTGCTGAGAGCTGACGAGTTGCTGATAAGACACCAGGAGCTCAGTTAATATATACAACCACATGTACACATACAGAGCCGCCCATTGACACCGCTCACCGCTAAACCCGAGGCCGTTACACTTGCCAAACGGTTATACGGTGCTCCGGAGTACACGGGTCGGCAGTGTGCAGGTCATTCGTTGACATTTTTTAAATTTATTTTTATTGGCAATATATTATTCGTCAATTTATCACATGGCCCGCTTGAAACGCGTACACCTGAGTGAATGTACATAGCTATGCATGCATACTTTTGCTTATATTTAACGGTTGAGTACTTAATGTGAATGTGTAAGCTTTTGTGCACGCATTGTTGTTGCATTGTGTGAGTTGTTTGGCCGTAACTCATTTATTTAGCGATAAAACCGCATAGATTTACCACATACATGCATATACATAAACAAGCGCCGGCCGAGTTAGGAAGGAGTGCAGCTCGGCCCCTTACGACGTTCAGGCCACCACCTACAATCGCGTCACTTACTCGTATATAACATACTCTATTCAACAATAAATTCGGAAAAGTGAGGCGAGTAAAAGTGAAATTGACATACGCTGTGCAACTGTGAGACGGCGACGTTGATGAAAAAGATCCTCAGTGCTTCAAAGACACTTAAAAAGCGCATACGAGTAAACAGTATTGCATACTTAATATACTCTACATTACGTATAAACAGTAAATAATAATAACCATGGGTGGCTGCTGTTCAAAGGATCCGGATTCACAGACTTCCTGGAGTCCTTCGGAGACGAAAAATGCGGTATGAAACGAAAGACAGTGAATTATAAGAAACTTGTTGAGGAAGTGCGTGCATGGTACTGTGAAAATGGTTAATAAAAACTATGAATTTTGTAGTTTTAGAAGGAAGTGTGTTTCGAAAATCATGTGCCTACAAATGTATAAGCGTTATTCAGAATACTTGAGCTTTCTTATACATGAAGTATTAGTCATATGAAATATTCTCAACATGAGTCAGAGTCGCTTAATCACCTAATCGCATAAGTAAACGGTGTGAAGTGGGGCAGAGCGGTAATGGCGGTACGTATCAAAGAGAGCTAGTAGAGTTGTTAACGCCAAGAAACGTTTACCAGGTCAAGGCTAAAATGCTTACATTTCAACTTTATATTAAAAGTAAGTACCAGCAATTAGGGATTCAGTGGTCTCGTAGGTAATTGGCTAGGCTCATGTAGTTTGAAGTCAGCATTTGCCGGGTTTGACAGATTTTGTACCGTGAACAGGGCATATTCAATTTGCCACGAATTTTTGTAGTACCCAGCAGGTAACAACGGATACCCCATAAAGAATATATATCTGTGAATGATCAGCGAGATGAGATGAGTCGAATTAGCCATGTCCGTCTGTATATACGCCAACTACGACTTGAAATCTGCACGCGTTGTTTTCTCAAGAAGCTGCTTATTTGTCGGAACCGTTGACATCGGACCACTGTAGCATAGATCGCCCATATAAACCGAGCAATAGGAATCTAGAGCTTTCATGGAAACTTTTTCAGTTGGCGAGATATCTTCACGAAATTTGGTAGGGGTTATTGCCTAAAGCAATGATGCAATCTCCGAAGAAATTGCACGAATGGAATCAAGTTTTTGTATGGTAAGTTTTTTTATTTAACAAAATTTCCGAACGAAGTTTAGCGGAGATTATTATCCAAGCCAGTGCAATAATATACGAACAAATTCTTCAGATCGGATGGTTTTAACATATAGCTGCCATACTAATTGACCGATGAAAGTTCCCACGAGAGTCGAGTCTACATAACCGGAATGGACGCGGACTTTTATCCGGCCAAGGACGATCAAATCGGAAAAATTCTACCGCTACAACAACAATTAGTTCCTTTTAATTTGTAAAGGGTGGTACAGCTACGCTGCAATCAAAGCGAACGTTTTCACTGGTTTCTTTTTTCAATTGACTTATTTGCCCTTTTGTACAGCAATTGAGTGTTGTAAAAAGACTGCATTAACCATTGAAAGTGCAAGTTTGGTACACAGAGCACATGCTCACAGTTTTCGTTATCTTCAAAAGAGACACAGTTGGGTGGAGTCTTCGTTGTTATCATAAATTATACAGAGTCACATCAAACAACTCTTAAAGCTTGCTGCCAATTTTAGCACAAAGTAGTACACTTTTCAGAATACAAGTTAGATTAAGCGCATTAGACATTTTAGACATTTATAATGCAGTACATGCTATATAAAGCTTGTTTACACATTTATGTACATGCATATGCGCGCACCTTCGATATATTATACATACATACGTAAGCATGTGTTGACAAAAGAATTTATTTATTAAATTTCTCTCGTTTCAGAGCACAACGTCGACAATTGTTGCGCAGCCAACGAACGATAGTACTTCGGCTGGAGTGTTTACGAGCACGTTGGTTGTGCCCGCTGACACAGAAGGCATGAGCTCGGAGACGACGACAACAACTATTATAAAGACAACAAAAGTCACAGAGACTGTGACGACCTCGGAGGAATGAATGCTGATAACGCCACTATGAGCGGCGGCAGGAAACGAGTGAATAACGACCAAATAATAAACGCATTTAGTATTAATTTATACACAATTAAGTAACACATATATACATACCTACAGACTTACATATGTACATATAATATATACACGTACATATATAAGCACAGAGTTGGACGAACCCAGTTGAAGAAAGTACACAGTACAATTAATTATCTAACATACCATGAAAAATATTGTAGAAGACGAGTTCTTTGTAAATAGACTTTTTAATACGTGCAATAAAAAGTAGTTTTCGATAAAATTGTAAAATTCTTGATTTCATTCTAGATTCCAATGCCAGTCATATTTCCCTAAATCTTAAACTTTTTGATGAACGCTCGAAACCAAGCAAATAAGTGAGGAATGTAAAAGGGGAGTAAGATTTCGCCGCCGAAAGTTGAAACGCATTTAATTAATCGGACAGTGCATCGTTAAGTGCAGCGTAAAGGCGTTGATCGAGAAAAAGAAAACACAGTTATTCTTATTATGAGCTGGCTCAGTAGTCAAGATCAACATTGCGAGCCTGCTGCCTGCCCTGCACCGCCCTTGAAACGCGCGTCGCCGCCTCCTATCCAGTTCTAATCAGCCGATGCGCGCCGCTTTAATAAGCGCTCGTATAATCGTGAATCAGTTTAGTTCAAATACCCGTCGCGACAACAACATCCCTCTCAGAATCAGAATACAACGCGCACAACAGTTCTCATATTATTCAAATTTTAATTTAATTCAATAAAAAATAAATTTAAATTCAAATTCGCACCGCAACGTGTATTGATTGAGCGAGTTGTTTTCCAACGCTTGTCGCGCTTTTGCTACAAATTATTCGTGAAATTGATTAGTTGTTCATTTTGTTGTTGGTGCGCGCGTGACATATGGCGCAGGTTTTGATCTCGATAGTGGCTGCCGTGGTGGCGATTAGCAGTTTTGCCCAAGGCTTCGTGTTGCCGCACTACGCACAGATCATGGGCATCGATTACGAGTACGCCGAGGAGACGCCGGCAGCGCCCACCCCAACGCCCAGCTACATAATGCGCATCGCACAGTCCAATGAATTGGGCGAACCCGGTGTGGCCGAGGTCACCAAATTCATCGACGCAGCGCCAACCAATCAACCAGACAGCGCGAAGCCTGCTACAAACGACAGGCCGAAAGTGATAAATAATAAGAGTGCAGCGGATACTACAAGCGCAGAGCAGCGGCGGCAAGGCAAGACGCTGACCTATACAGAACTCGACAAACTGCTGGCCAATTGGCAAATGGATAAGGAGCGCAATGCTTACGAGATGCAGGCCAACAAACAGTACGGACTCAATGCGGGCCACTACTGACGGGGATCAAGCAAGTTTTGTTTCTTTATGTTTGGGGAAAATGCTGTCTTTTTAGTGCCGATGTATGCATGTTAGCAACTGCTGCTTTAAGTGTGTTGCTGATAACGGAATGTAATGCCCATTGCCATTACTAAACGGGACGGGAGGGGTTTCGGTTGTCTAAAATCAATATTTGCGTTTGATAATTGTTTTATGTTAAACCATTTTGTTAGTAAAAATGATCTTCTGATTGTACCATAACACCGAAGGCGAAGGTTCAAACGCCTTAACTGTGTCAGCTTATAAATATTAGTTTAGTTAGAATTATCTCTTCCAAATGCCTTGTAATCTTTATCAGAATAAAATAATCTACAAAAGTTGCTATCAAACGGCTAAGTACACAAATAAAGTAAATTTCTGCGTACATTTTATTTCGAATCTAATTGGAAAAAATTAAAACTCTCCTAGATAAGATAAAATATAAAATGCTAGAATGTGGGGTAGGTGTCATCTTGCAACTCATTTTCAAAATTTCATAAAACTTTTCAAGATTTCACAAATATATAATACTTTTTTATTATAACATCTTCTTTGAGTACCACTTTTTATTAAACTACAATCTAGGCACAGCCTGAATGTGTCGGACGATTACGGTAACTCATTCGCATAATCTCATTTACATATAGACACATTATTGGCATAAATAAGTAAACAAATCAATTGGCTAAAACAATAGGATTGATTTATTGAAACAAATTGAAATCGCAACTTTGTTTAAAATTGTGTCCACATCTTCAATACTAATGAAAACAAATAAATTGCAGTAGCGTATTTCAAGATGTGGCGGCTACATGTTGCTTGTTGCCATTTTGCAAAATCATATCTCCACTGCAGTTCGGTATTTTCTCATTGTTTTCATTTCCCTCGAGGTTCTGCTTGCTAAGATCGGTTGCATGTGTGTCACTTTGTGGTGTTGGTGTCTCATCTTCCAAGTTGCTGGGTGTTGAAGACTCGCCTCCGATCTCAGAGCTCGTTCCTGTCACTACCACAACGGGCACTTGTCGATTGCGCAACCGTCTCGCTATGGGGGGGACAAAGAGATCATATTTGATAGTGGTGCACGCGCTGTCGGTGTAGATGTGTGCATTCGAGTCCCAGCCCAGCTTGGCGTACAGCCAGGAGCATACCAAGCCCATGAAGAACGTGACGAGAAAGCCAATTGTCGCATACCACATATATGAGATTCGATAGAGATAGAAATAATGTGGCTCCGCTGCTTCCGCCGTTAACAGTCGATGTGTGAAGATGTCGCTGACGTATGATGTTGGTGGCGTCGCAGGACAGCCTTCGGTAGAGAATTCCAGGCTTATCGGCACAGGTCTGGGTTGACCAAAACCAATCCAAAAGCAAAATGCCAGGCTGGTGAGGAGACCGGTTATTGCCCCCTTCTGATTAACAGATGTGCAGTACATGCCGAGCGTGAATAGACCCAATAATGGACCGCCTACAATTCCAAAAATGGAAAGTGCAGCCTGTAGAACACCAGTTAGCGAACCGGCTAGGAATGCGAGACCGATACATCCCGCACCATAAATCAGATTGAAAATTTTTGAAAACCATGTGCTTCTGGAATCACTTAGAGTTTGTTTGGTTTTCCACAGTAGCAATGGTTTTATGTAATCTTCGACAGTCACGGCCGCCAAAGAGGAGATAGCAGATGAAATTGTTGACAAACTTGCGCAAAATATACCCGCAACAAATAGGCCCGACAATCCGGGAATGTCTGACATTGTATCCACGACGAAAAGTGGCATCAATTGATCTCGTGAGGAAATACGACCCTGCAATAAGGGATCACAGTCTTTATAGTAATAGTACATACAGAGTCCGGAGAAGCAGGTGCTGCAACTCAGTAGCATCAAAATTGGTAAGTTCCACCATAAAGAAGCTTGCGAAGCTTTTAGATTGCGCACCGACAACAACCGTTGGACCTGCGTCTGATTGACGCCATAAACGGATAAGTACGTGCTTATGCCACCAATGATTTGTGTCCAAAAGGTATGGCGAACTGTTGGATCAATACGGAAATCCGAAAAATTGATGCGACCACCTTCATTTGCAACACGCCAGATCTCACCCCAGCTTCCCGCTTTGATGGTGGCGAAAATTATCACACTAAACACGGATACAAACATTAGCAGCGACTGGAAAATATCTGTGATTAGCACCGCCTTCATTCCACCCAATGTGGCATAAAAGGTACACACTACGCCTACGAGAATTACTGAGAAGTTTTGATTTAGGCCTGTTACGGCTTCAAGCGCTAGTGCTGGTGCATACAATACAATGCCCATGTAGAGTGTCATTTGAATTGTGTAGGCGAGAGAGGCGCACAGTCGGCTAGCATAGCCAAATCGCAATTCCAAATATTCGTACACGGATGCAGTTTTAAGTCGAAAGAAAACTGGCAAAATGAGGTAGACAGCTGCCGGTGTGGACAAGACGTAGGAGATATTGATGAGCACAAACATAGTACCGAACTGATAGTTTTCCATTGATACACCTAGCAGAGTGACGGCGGACATGAAGCTAGTCATAAGGCTAAAAGCGACTGGCAGGATTGACATCTGGCGTCCAGCAAGCAGGTATTCCTTAGTGGTATTCTGCTTCCCGCCGGTCACACGATAATATACACCGATACCGGCTGATACGATCAGAACAAGTACAACAATTCCATAATCGAGGGCACCGAAAGTGGCCATTTTATTAGATGTGGTTAAATGCACCGGGAAAACTTTACAATTAGCATTAAAAACTGCACTTTTATAACGTGTGACCAGTGCAGTTTGCTCTCCTTACTGCAATTGTAGTTCAAGCGGGAGTCTCTCACCGGCACTACAGTACGGATATACAACACACGAGGTACTGATTTAATGACTTAAATGTTCCAAAGCTAATATTACGCTTTCTGGAGAGTTTCACCTCGTTAAAATAATCTTTATTAGCTGTCCGACTGTCGATTTTTTATCTGCACTTGATAACTATAATTGTGCTGTTTCAAGTGATGTTTGCACAATTTTAGTAAAAGTTGTTGGCTGATACTGATGGAGTTCCACGCTAAGAATACTAACTTTTTTTTAAATTTTTGATGCGGGCAAATTTTCTGGACGCAACTGATTCAGTACAATTTGTAGTTGAAAAGTTTTATAAACTTCCGCGCTATCGCCGTGTAGGCTGCTGACAAGAGTACTGTGGGAAAACGGAATTTGCTCTCATAGTATCGAGCACCTGTGCTCGCCAAGAAATTCATATTTACATTGTTGCGAATACAAGGGTGATTTTATGGCCACTGTAGCCAGTGGCAGAGGCTAGATCAGACAAAAATATGCAATGGCTGCTGCGCCAGTGATACCGCCGTTTATTAGCAATCCAGCAGATGCAAATACTGTGTTCGATATTTGCTAGCACATCTACATACGTGTTTATTTTAACCTTTGTATAAATATAATTAAAATTTTTTACTTATTGGTCTGGTACACGAGTATGCTGTTCTTATTGAATTTATACATTTGTGTTTGCTTTTGGATTATTTTATAAACCGGTGGTGTGTGTATCTGTTGTTTATTTGTTGTTCTGATACTAACTTTTGCTTCTATTTATACATGCAGCTTTACATTTGTTTCGTGCTTTTTTCTTACGGAGGGAATCTTTGCGTGGCAGAGTTTCGAAGCGTTGCCTGTTGTTGCGGCAATCCCTGTTAGGGTGGCAAACTATGGTTAGTTGGCATTTGTGGCTTCGACGGGGTCACCCCATGGAGAGAAGAGCGTTAGATGAGTGACAAGGCATATTATCTGGACGTTTATGACTCTAAGTGTGATGGTGGTGCTGTATCCTTTACGGAAGCTATATTGATGGTCTGCTAGGTTCAGATAGTGAGTGAAGGTCGGGAATAATGAAGCCTCA